TGCCTCCCATGGCACTGCCAGGTCTTGAAGGAACTGGGTTCTGGCTCCGATTTTGTTTCTGTGATAATGCACCATTCATCTATTGCTTTCTGCACTTGAGTAGAGAAACTGAGTGGGTCTGGGGGAGATACCATTTGATGGGAAAGATGAGGACAGGTTTTAGGAAGGGCCTGAGGAAGAGAAGAGTGTACATCGGTAGTGGGTAGAAATGAGTAGAGAACAGGGATCATTCCACAGGAGAGAAGCAAGAGAAGGCAGTGGGAAAGCCCAGGAAGACCTAGGGACTTCAAGGCAAGAGTAAGGGAGATAGTTTGGAAAGGAGGGAGACAAGGAATGGAAAGAGGTGGAGTGGGCAGTGAGGATTAGGGGAACACCCCCCCTCGAGGGGGTTTGGAGGTTTGAACTTCACTGAAGGTTAAAGAGGTATACCCTGAAGGATGTTTGGGGGAAGCGGAGGTCTTCTTAACCCACCCCCACCCCGCATTCCACCAGCATCCTCTTCCCTCTCATATCTCCTTCATATCTCCCCTGCTGGAAACCTAGGCATCTCTGGGCTTGTGTCATGGAAAAGAAAAAGTGGGGGCACTAAAATCTCTTTCTTCTTGGGTGCCCAGATGATTGGAATGAAGGACTTGGGGGGAGGTTGGCTTAACCCCAATAGCACCGGGAAGCAGCCAGCTCCTCTCACCTCCTTCCCCCTTCGTGGCTTGCGGTCTCTCCCCTCCCTGTCTTGGCCCCCAGGAAGTGTGAGTTCTGGGGGTGGTGAGGTTAGGAGGGGGGAAGGGGTGGGGGGAGGCAGGCAGAAGCCAGAGGGGCTAGGGTTGGAGGGTATTCATCCTTTGTGCATCATGGAATAAAAGCGCCCTCTCTGAAGCCCAGTAGCCATGGCCCAGTAGTAGAGTGGTAGACGAGTTTTCTGTCTCTCCTCTCCCCATACTTCTCCATTTTACCAAGCAACCTTAGGATCCAGGTGCCAGTCCTCAGGTTTGAGAGTGGGTCAGAAAAGTCTAATGGAAGCAGTGGGCTTCTGGGTCTTTGGGGAAACTAGTCTGGCCCTTTGGTTGTGCCCCTACCCTCCCCCTCACCCCACCCTACCACCTATCCCCTGGTCCACCACAGGCCAAAGCCTATGCTTCGTGCAAGCTAACTCCACAAAAACAGGAAGAAAACCTGAAGCTGGAGATGGGGTGGGGGTGGGGGTTGGAGGGAAAGAGAAGCATGGGGGAAGGGGAGCTGGAGGTATTCAGTCTTCAGTCTGTCCATCTTTCTAGCTGTCATTGAGGATCTTTGTGCTTTTATCCCAAATCTGTGGGATCTTAAACACTTCTCTTGGACTTGCAGCTATAGCTAGCTCTGGGCTCTAGCGCACTTCCCCCCCTCCCCACACACCGAACCAATACCCCATGCCCAGTTTTCATCCCAATACTAGAATCCAACAATGTTGGGGGGTGGGGGAAGAGTAAAGGAGGGAATATATGCTTATATCTTAGTCCAGTATCTATTTTCTCCCTCACCCCATAATCCTGGCTCCACCCCACTAAGCTGGTTCCCCTAATCTCAGGGATGGGGGAGGTGGTGGTCAGCTTGCTTTACTCAACTGTCCAACACAGGGCCTCCTAAATCTGCCCACTAGCTGGCACTGACTAGCATCATTGGTCCTACTATTTATTATAACCCTCAAATCACTAGACTGAGTACTGCCTGGTATTGGCACCTGGGGCAGGACACCAAACTTTACATTAGCCAAATCCAGGGCTAATGGCCTCTGCCTTTTTGGCTCCAGTGAAATAGGCTTACCCGGACTAGTGCCCACTGGCACCAAGGAGGGTAGCTAGGTGATATTGGTCTCCCCCTCTTCATCCCTTTATTGCACCCCCACCCCAACCAAGATGGGGCAGATTTGACTCAGGTCCCAGTTTCAAGAGAGCTGCCCACCTGCCCGGCCGGTCGAGCAGGCCTGACAGTGAGGGGAGCCTGGGGGGGTGGGGGTGGGGGGTGGCTGGCAAGGGGGAAAGAGTGGGGCGGGGCTCCCAGCTTCCCATCCCCCCCCCAAGGCAAACAGACCAAGCCTGGTTCCCTGGCACCCCCAGCACAGCTGCCCTCCCCACCCCCCAACTACCACCACACCCGTCCATGCCCACGAGGTCTTAGCAAGAGGGGGCATGCCAGGCAGGGTGGGGATGGGGCCGCCCTCATGGGGCGTTGGGGGCTGGGCGCTCTGGGATGGAGAGGTGGGCAGGTTGCCCGAGGGGGAGTGGGCACACTGGCACCAACACCCTGCCTCAGGAGAAAGGTCTGCAATGGTCCTACATACCTCCTAGTGGCTAGGACTCTGCCCCCTTAGTCTGGTTGGCACCAGCCTAGCTCCAGGTGTCACTCAGATTGGCATAGGTGCCAGGGTCCTGGGGGAATCTCCCTAGGGAGGAAGGGTGGTCTGGCCCTTATTCCCCATCCTGTCCACACCACCTCTCATTTTGCCCCTCCTCCTCCTTTAACTGATATCTCCTTAGGATGGGCAGTGGTGTGGCATTAAGGAGTTAAACACCCACTCTTGCCTGAGCCTGTGAGAGCTGCATGGTGAACCAAGCTGCGCCCCTGACCTGACAGTGGGGTCAGCCAATCAGCACCCCCGCCACACCAGGTTGCCAAGGAGATTGCCCCTGGGGTGGGAGAAGGAGGGAGGGCTCAGCAGAGGGAACTAGTTGGGGGGGGAACAGGAGAGGGGGAAGGACTGAAAGGGAGTGGAAAGAGCTGCATGCCCGCTGGTGCCCCAGCTCATGGCCAATGGACAACCAGGACGGCCCCTCCCTCTTTTCCTCCCTCCCTCACTTTCTTCCTCTTCACAGAGGAGTGTAAGCCTAGGGTCCCAACTTGGCCACTGTTGCTGCCCACCTCAGGTTCTGTGTATTTTCTGCTTCTGCAAAGTCCTGGTGGCACTTAGCCCCAAGAACCTCTTACAAAGCCTGGAGCTAGGCAGGAGAGGACCTCCCCAGTGCTTCACTCCTGGGGGCTAGCTTTCAAGTTGGGGAAGGGGGTGCCTGTAGAAGCTAGGGTACAACCAGGACTCCCTTACCCCCAGAAACACATGTGGGCAGCTGCTTGCTCAAGGCTTGGGGGTGGGGGAGCCATACTCTGGGCTTTGCAATCAGGGAGGTGCACAGGAGAGCCGTCACATAGACACAATGCTGCTCTTGTATCTTAATGAGGAAACTTGGGGCCCCGCCTTATTTCCCCCCTCCCCCAAATAACCAAGTCCCCATCGTTGGCCAGGGCTGGGCAGCTGCTGTGGGAGTGGCAGAGGTAACAGACATAAAATGTAGAGTTGGAAGGGACCTTGGCCATCGTCCACTTCAAGGCCTTCCTTTTGCAGAGGAGGGAAATTGACGTGCCCAAGGTCACACTATGAGTTAGTTAAGTTGGTACTCATATACAAGTCTCCCAAGTCTTCCCCTTTTTTAGGAGAGAATTTTGGACTATGTCCATACCCCACATTATGAGGTGGGGAGATTTTTCTCTGAGAAGCTCAGGGGTCCCTTTTCTCCATTGGAGAAGCAGCAAATAGAATGGAAAGAGTGTTGAATTTGGAGTCAGGCTACAAGGGTTCGAGTCTGGAGTCTGCTGTGTGACTCTAGGCAAGTCAGGTTGCTTCTCTGGGGCCCAGTTTCAAAATGGGGATAGTACTCCTTATAACCTGTATCACAGGGTTATTGTGGGGAAAGCACCCTGGAAACTGTAAATATCTGTATAATACAAGATCTAGTCTACCTTTACCTGATGGGTGAGAGGGCTGAAGGCCGTAATGGTACACCCCAGAGACCGAAGACTCCCTAGCCTTCCTTGTCACAATCTGCTGGATGCTGCCCTCCCCCATGTTTCCAGGGTGGAAAAGGCATCGTGGGTCCTCAGTTAACCCTCACCCCAGCTATGCTAGCCATAGCAGTGGTTTAAAAGGGGAAGAGGATCAGATTGGTGCCTACTGTGGACACTTCCAGGGGCACCTCCTGCCTGCCTGGGAATGGGGGAGGGGGAGATGGAATCTGTGAGGAGGGGATAGGAGCGTGGAGCCTAGCCTATTGTCAGTGGGGGAGGGGTCGGGCAAGATGCTTATCTTCTGGGCAGGAAGCACCAGAGACACCCCAGCGCCCTTGGTGGCTGTTCCCCGGGCCCCATTGTTGGAGGGGGGGAGAGGATGTAGGGGGCCCCTGGGAGCTGCACATTTCCCGTCCACTAGATAGGGAGGGGCACTCCAGATGGGGAGAACCTGGTTGAGACAGAAAAATTAGGGTAAAAATACATTAGATTTGTGGATCCCTTTGAGGACTTTTCTTCTGTGTCCATCCTGTCATTTGAGCTGCACAAACCTGTGGGAGAGGCAGGGTAGGCAGCATGGAGGTATTTTCCCCTTTTCACAGATGGAAGAATTGAGGCTTGGGAGAGCAGAGATCATGCCACTATAGAATGTCTGAGTTTAAAAGAGTTTAGAGATCACTTAGCCAGAAGCATAGCAGTGGGTAAAGTACTGGGCTCTGGAATCAGAGGACCTGGGTTCAAATCTAGGGCTCTGCTGCTTGCTACCTGTATGCCTTTAGACAGGTCACCTCACCTTTCTGTGCCTCAGTTTCTATATCTGTAAAATGACAGGGTTGGACTATTAACTTCAGGTCCCTTCAGGCTGTAAATCTATGATCCTCATGATGGCTCTAATTCTATGATTATGATGCCCCCACTCAGAGATGAGGAAAGTAAGGTTTGGTGACTTGCCCAAGGTCACACTGAAAATCAGTAGCAGAGCTGGAACTAGATTCCAGGTATTCTCTTTGTCCAGTTTCTTTCCACTAGGATTCGAAAAAGATAGTTTCTTGAAGGCAGAGGGAATGCAGCTGATGGGGGCTGGGGGTGAAAGACTTGGTTTGGATGCAGAAGCTCACCTGTTCTCCTTTCCTCAAAAGGTCAAGCTGCCTCTCCTAACCATGGTTCATGTCTTTCCATCCTCCCTGCAGGTGAGGATGGGGAGCCCTGAAGATGATCTCATTGGGATTCCCTTCCCAGACCACAGCAGTGAGCTCCTCAGCTGTCTGAATGAGCAGCGCCAGCTGGGCCAGCTGTGTGATCTCACAATCCGAACCCAAGGCCTAGAATACCGAACCCATCGGGCTGTGCTGGCTGCCTGCAGCCACTACTTTAAGAAACTGTTCACTGAGGGAGGTGGGGGCACAGGTGCTAGTGGTGGCATGGCTGCCTCCTCAGGTGCCGGCGTCTGTGAACTGGACTTTGTGGGCCCAGAAGCACTGGGAGCCCTGCTGGAGTTTGCCTACACGGCCACCCTCACCACCAGTAGCGCCAACATGCCTGCTGTCCTCCAGGCAGCTAGACTGCTGGAGATCCCCTGTGTCATTGCTGCCTGTGTTGAAATCCTGCAGGGGAGCGGGCTGGAGGCCCCTGGTCCTGATGAAGATGACTGTGAGAGAGCCCGCCAGTACCTGGAGGCCTTTGCTACTGTGGGCAGTCGGGTGCCCAATGGTGATGACAGTCCACTACCAGCCCCTCTTCCACCACCCCCACCCCCAACACGGCCTGTTCCCCGAAGAAGCCGAAAGCCCCGAAAAGCCTTTTTGCAAACAAAGAGGCCTCAAACCAACCATCTGATGTCTGATGTGGCTGCCATCCCCCCCCACCCCTTTACCTACCCAGATGAGGAAGAGGCAGCAAGTGGCATCAGCCTAGGGGATGGCTATAGCCCCCCTGGTGGGGCCAGGTCACCCCCCGAGGGGCACCTGGGCTATGAAGGATATGATGGGGAGGAAGAAGAGGAAGATCTAGTATACCCACCAACCTATGGGCTGGCTCAGAGTGGGGCACCCCCCTTGTCCCCTGAAGAGTTGGGCTCAGATGAGGATGCCATTGACCCTGACCTGATGGCCTATCTGAGTTCCCTGAACCACGAAGCCCTCACGCCAGGGATAGATGGCCAGGACAAGCTGGTACGCAAGCGTCGTTCCCAGATGCCCCAGGAATGTCCAGTTTGCCACAAGATCATTCACGGGGCAGGCAAGCTACCCCGACACATGCGGACCCACACCGGTGAGAAGCCTTTTGCCTGTGAGGTCTGTGGCGTCAGGTTCACCAGGTGAGAGGGTACCCAGCTTTGGGGGGAGGGGGCAGTGGGCAAGAGGGTAAAGGAGAGTGCCGCACCTACTAAAAACCCAGGAAGGGGACAACTACTCAGTGGAATCCCCAGCCAAGAGCAGGGGTGGAAGCCAAGGGAAGATTGTATAGGAATGCAGTGGGGAGTGGAGAGTTGGGGAAAGGAAGGGGGTGAAAAGGCCAAAATTAGAAGTTCAAGGATACTGCCATAGGGCATGAGGGACATAGGACAGGTGGGCATTTCAGCAAATAAGATAAGTGCAGGCAGATGAAGAGCAGAACGATGCCAAAATGAGTTGTTTGTCCTTCGTTCTCAAAGAGGACCATGACATCAGGAAGGAGATGTCATGACTTGCAAGTGAAGTGGATTTAAGTGAGGGAGGGCTGTACAAGGTTACACTCTTTCCTAAGGAGCCATCTGGGCCCAGTGGGAAGATATAGATCAGGAAGGCTGGAGATGGTCCCAGTGCAGTGGGAGGCCTTGGCCTCTTTGAGCTAAGGTCTTTCTCTGGCCTCAGTTTGTCCAAGGCAACACCCATTCAGTGATTAAGGCTAAGTAAAAATGAGGCCAAAATGGGAGAGAAATTAAGGAAGCCCGATGCCTGAGGGCAAAGCTAAAAGGATGATGATAAAAGAACCGAAGGGGTGGAAGAAGTGGGAATGGGGGTGAGGAGGAAAGGCAGATACCTACAGAAATCAGGTTAGTCAGGCCTATGCAAAGGTCACAAGGACTTTTTCCAGGCCTTATTTCTACCTGCAGGTCCTTACCCTATCTCTTCCCACCATCCCCAACTCCACCCCTTTCCCCTCCCCAGGAATGACAAGCTGAAGATACACATGAGGAAGCACACTGGTGAGCGGCCATACTCATGCCCACACTGCCCAGCGCGCTTCCTCCATAGCTATGACCTCAAGAACCACATGCACCTGCACACAGGCGACCGGCCCTTTGAATGCCACCTGTGCCACAAGGCCTTCGCCAAGGAGGACCACCTGCAGCGTCACCTGAAGGGCCAGAACTGCCTGGAGGTCCGGACCCGAAGACGAAGAAAAGATGATGCACCCCCCCACTATCCCCCACCCCAGGCGCCCACCCCAGCTGGCCCTGGCCTTGACCTTTCCAACGGGCACCTGGATGACTTCCGCCTCTCCCTGGCGCGTTTCTGGGAGCAGCCAGCCAGGGCTGGGCCTCCTCCTCCACCCCCAGGGCCTCCTGAAGAAGATGAGGAGGAGGGGGCACCAACCACACCCCAGGCTGAGGGTGCCATAGAATCCTCTTAAATGAGAAAAGGAGCTGGACTAGGGTGGAGTCCCAGGGTGGGCACAAATGCCAAGGAATATGAGGGCTGTGGAGCACAGACTGCACTGTGGGGCAGGGGAACTTTGCCTTCAAGGGTACCAGACCCGCTCCTCCTCTGTACCTTGGCAGCTCTGGGCTAGTCCCACATACAGGGAAAAGTTTGGGCTCTCCCCCAGATTGGGGCAGACTCCCTCCCACCAAGGGGTGATGAATATATATATGTATATATACATATATAATATTTTGTATATATATATATAAATATATATACATACACACACACAGCTCTATTGTAAAGGTGGGGTTCCCCCCTTCCCAAACCCTGGATCTTCCCAGGGATCTAGAAGCAATAATATATTTCTGATTTGTAGGGGGGCGCCCTTTTCGGGTATGCGGGTTTTTAGAGGGTGAGGGGCTTGGGACCAAATCCCTGCCCCACCCACCCTAGGGGTAGGGCTGTGTGTATGGGGTGGGGGAAGCTGCCCCTCCTTTCCCGACCCCTCCTTCCTGGTTTCTGTTCCCCTTTTCCTGGCAGTGGATTATGCAAAGGTTTGGGGGGGGGAGTGAATCGCGGTAAGGAATAGACTATGGAAGCGGGGGAGTTGAGTGGGAGATTGCAGGGAAGGAAGGACTGGGGGTGGGGGGCACCAGTGGGAAACTGGGGCAGAAGGGAAGGCGGCTCCCCCACCGTCCCTCCGCCCAGTTCCCAGCGCTGAGTCACGGGGTCCGAGGAGCAAGCAGGGGGCGGGGTGCCCAGATCCTCTCGCCCGCCCCCGGGGGCAGCAGGAGGAACCCCACCCGCTCCCCTCCCCTCCCGCGTCCCCAGGCAGGGAATGTCTTGTTCCCGCCGCTCCCCGCCCGGGGCCAGAGGGCTGGGCGGGCCAGGCTTCGTCCCATCCTAACCCTGCCCTCCCTTCCCCGGCTCTCTCCCCTCCCCGCCCAGGTGCGAGCTGCCGCCGCCGCCGCCGCCGCCGCCGCTTGTGCAGCCGCCGCCGCGCCCCTGACTCACGCCGCCCCCGGGCTGGCGCTGCAGCTGCTGCCGTCGCTGCCGCTCGGGCTGGGGGGTGGGGGGGGCGGTGAGGACGAGACTTGCTGAGAGTGGGCTTGCGGTCGCCACCTGGCGGCCGGCTGCTGAGCGAGCGCGAGCGCCCCTCGCGGCTGCTTTGGGCGAGTAGATTCCACCATCCCCAACCACCGCTGCCTGTGAGCGAGCGCCCCCTCGCGGCGGCGGGGTAATAGCTTGAATGTGCTGCAGATCCCTGGAGGGGCTGCACAAATAACTTGTCCCTTTTCTGCCGCATTCCTTGGGGGCCTCTCCTGTGTTGGGTAGGGAGTCTCTTCCCGCCCACCCCCGCCCCCCTTAGGATCCAATCCACCCATCCTTCTGTACATAGCATCTTCTGTTGGTCTTGTTGAAATCTAGTTTGAAAATTTTAATTCCCTCTTGATTTCCTGGGGTGACGGGAGGGTGCTGGGGGCTCTCTCCAGCCCTCTTCCTCGCTGGGTGCTGGACCCCCACTGTGGCCTGGGCTCTGCTGATTGGGCTGGTAAGGGGGGAGCCCTCCCTCCCCCACCCCAATTCTGCCTTGCACTATTCCCCCTCCCTGGCCTAGTGGCCCCTCCCCCTCCCTGGGGGGGCAGGTTCAGGGGCCGGTGCTGTCTTCCCTTCCTTCCCCCTCCCACTATGCCCCATGCCCATTTGCACAGCTGCTCAGGCCTCTCCCCCTGGGCTAGGGGGGTCAGGGGAGGGGGTAGCGGGACCAGTCCCTTTATCTATTTAAGGCGTGATGATGTAATATATTGGGGGGGTTGGGTGCCCCGGGCCCCATCTTAGCATTTCAGGTGGTGGGGGGCCCAGGGCTGGGGGAGGGAGACTGAGGACACCTTGGCCTCCCCTCCCCATTCCCTTGGCTTTTCCAGTCAGTGCCTTAGGGTTGGGGGGGCAGTTCCTCCTCTCCTGCCCCATTCCCTTTCCCTCCCCTCGGGTGTAAGCAACAGAAAGAAAATAATAATAATTTAAGATTCGCAATTGTGTTGGCCTCTCTTTCCTTCTTTAATTATGGGTGGGGATGGGAATCTGGAAATCGGGAGACCGACAGAAGGAAGGGTAGGGTTGGATGGGGTTGAAACCAGAGGAGGCAGTAGCTATTTCTGGGGGAGGGGGGGAGGAGGGGGGATGGTGATACAGATGGGAGATTGAGTGGAGGTAGGCTGTGGGAAAGAATTGGGTTCATCTTCATTCTCGTCCTTGTCTTCAGCTTCCTCACCACTGACCCCATCCTCATTCTCCTGCTGCTTGTTACAGTCAGAATCTGTTTCATTGCTGGGAAGAAGAGAAAATGTGTGGGGTCTGGGGTGAGGGCAGGCCCTCTTCCCCCATTACTCTTCCTGGCATCCCTCTGCTCTCACCTTGAGCTACAGGTTCGATCTAGATTATAGAGAAGGGATAGCTTCTTGAACCTGGCCTTCCCCAGGACTGCCTTCAGCTTTTTCTTAAGCCACCTTTGCTTCTCCTTGCTCAGTCTTTTGGTTGAAGCCAGCCACAGGCGGGGGTGCTCATCATCACTGGAGTCCCTGGAGGAAACCTCAGAATTTAGGGACTTGGAGGTTGTTGCCGAATCTTCCTAAACAAGTGAATTCCCTCCACCACCCCTACCTTTTACATCCTGGTTTCCTCCCTTTTGCAACCAACCCCATGGCTAGCTATGTCCTTGAGAACTCACAACTCTAGATCCAGGTCTCCCTGGGGAGTCAGGGGCGCTGCACACACTGAGCACGTGTTATTCAGGAGTCTGAAGCAGGTCCTGCAGAAGAGGCCTAGGCGGTGGAGCCCAGGGAGTAGTGACTCAGGAATACTTGGCCTGGCTACCCCTCTCTTCTCTCCTCTCCCCCCACCTCAACTTTCCTGGAGCTCTTCCTGGCCTCCACCACCTCACTGGGCTGCAAATGATAGAATGCCATGCAATAATAGAACTATATGCAAGTTGCAGAAAGGGTGCAATGCAAATTAGGCCAAAACTCGCAAATTTGTGTCTGCCTTATGCAAATCACAAAATGCATATGTAAATCACCATGCCCATATGCAAACGAGTTCATGCATAGCGATAACATTAGATCCAAATGTAAAACCTATGCAAAATTACGGACCACAATTGATTGTGTCTATGCAAATGAAATAGAATTATAGATTTAAAATTGGAAAGGACCTTAGAAGCCAGTCAGTCCACACCCTTCATTTACAGAGAAAGGAAACTGAGGGTAGGGAAGCTGAGTGATTCCCTTGGTTTCAGAGTGCCATAAATGGGATTGGAACCTAACCTTTCAGATGACAAATCCAGAACTCTTTCCATGGTGCCATGTTGGCACCTCCAGAGCAAGACTCTGGTGATTCCCTGGAGGCCTACCTCTGCAACCTGGGGTGCTGCAGGGCACAAAGTCTTGCATCTCATGTTCATTCTGAGGCCTACCACAGCCCAGGCAGTAGGTCTGATGGATTCCCAGGAGATTGATCAGTGGTACCAGGCGGGGCCACCTGTAGGAGGGTTTTGTGTACATCCTCTACATGGGTCATCCTCTCCCCTAACCCACCCTAAAGCTCTATGGATGATGGGGACCTGTCCTTTTTTATCCAATTACTTTTGCCCTTTTGACCTATTAGGAAGGCCTTCCTACAGTCTAACCCCCCATTTAACCAACCAGTTATTCCTCTTTCTTTGGTCCCATTCCCCCCTTCTATCCTGCCAGAGAATCCTTCTTCAGAGTGGATACTCATAAATCCTGAAGTACCTCTCACTTTGCACAAGTATTTTGCACATTCAACTTAGGGGCAAATTTCCACTCTGACCCCTAGATCATCTGCTGTTGGATTTTCCCTTCAGGGGGAAAGGGGAGGAAGAAAACTCACTTGGCAGCAAGCACAAGGAGAATGTTGGTGTGGCCCTGGTCTGCTGCCCGACGCCTCACAGCACCAACCAGAGAAGTGGCCACGTTGGATCGGCGGGTCAGCAGATTGTTGTACAGGAAAGAGATCCGTTCCTAGATGGGATGTTAGGGGGAGTGCTCACTGCTTTGAGGTCCAACAGTGGACAGATTTCTACCCAAGTCAAAAAGGAAGAGTTTCCCTTGCTTACGGTTAGGCAAAGGCAGTTGGGAGGGAGGGGATGCAAAAAGGATTGCCAAACCTGGCATTACAGCTGTAAAACTGAATGATTATGTGGAAGCCCCCACTCAAGGTATCCCCAATCCAGGGACATTATAATCCTGTGAAGCACTGCCCTGAGAGGCTTCTTTCTGTGTTTGCCCCAGGGGAGTCTACAGAGAATCATGGAACCATGGATGCTCAGAAAATGAAAGCAAGGACTTTCCCAAACTTCCCAAACTCCCAACTACTGACCAGTAAACCTCTGCTTGGAATAAAACAGCCACCCTCCTTCCACCCCTTCCACTGGGACTGTAGGCCTTTCACCTGCTCCCGGGATGGGTAGTAGGAAGCACAGATGACCCGACTCATCCGTCCAACGTAAGAGCCAAAGAGGGTAACAAAGAAACACAGGCCGTACATGAGGCCTGTGGACAAGGTGGGTGTTACCTGAGGAAGAATACCAGACCCACATCGGGTCTGCCCTACATCCTCCCAGAACTGCACAGGGCCTGATGAGGACAGGTTGAGAGACCCTAGTTCCCAAGGCTATGACTCCCAAAACAGGTTCCATTTTCTAGAACTTCTTCCCTCCCATCAACCTCATATCCTTGATAATCATAACAGTAACTAACATTTACTATCTTTTTGGGGCCAGACTCTAGTTTAGTGACTGGGGGAGAGGGGGCGGGGAAGGTCACACAGTATGTGTCTGAGTCAGGACTTGAACGCAGGTCTTCCTAACTCCAGGCCTAATATCTGTCCACTGCACCACTTAGCTGCCCTAGTATCCCATAGAACACTTTATCACTATAAAGCATTTCACATTAATTATCTCATTTGAGCCCTGTGACATCTGGGTAAAGTAGGGAGGACAGGTGTTGTCTTTTCTAAAGTTAAGTGATTTGCTCATGTGAGTATGTGTCAGAACCAGGACTTAAACCCAAGTCTTTTTGACTTTAAGGCCAGCATGCCCTACCCACTAGAATACATCACCTTTCACATCACTATCAATATAGCCTAAAATTGGTGTGTTTTTTCTCTCTTCTATGTCCCCAACACTGTTGATTCATATTTGAGTTTGCATACCAGTAAAACCTTCTGATTTTCTTTCACATGAAATTAAGTCTATTCAT